TTTTTTTTTTTTTGTCTGCTTGAGGCGGCAAAAACGACTAGAGCCGGCCCTGAGCAAGGCAGTGGGTCTCTGCCCAGGCAGGGGAGGCAACCCTGTGGAGTGGCTAGAGCACTGGACTAGGCATCAGAAGAAACGTAATCTAATCCTGGCTCTGAGACTTACTTGGCTAAATCATTGCTGTGCCTCAGTCTCCTTGTCTGTAAAATAGGGCTTATGACATGCTCCTGTGTGAAGCACTTGGGGTCTGTGGGCCCCAGGGAAGAGCCAAGTGCTGTAAATGAATATTGAGGGTTCCTGGCTACAGTCTGTATTCTTGCATCTCTTGCACGCAAAGCTAGGAAGAGACAGGGCATGAATGTCACAGCTCGGACCCAGCCACACGAGATGATTGTTACCTTGAATTCCACCCCAGGGGCTGTGGAGCCCATAAAGGAGGCTCTCTTCTGTTGATCATGGAACACGCTCTGAAAGGCTTTTATGAACTACTTGCGATGACTGCGGAGGAGGGATTGTCTTGTGCATAAGGCGCTGGCCTGGGGCTCTAGTTCTGTCTGTGTGACTGTGGGCTGAATCTTGTTGTCTCAGTTCCTCCTCCACTCAGTGGGGATAATCCCCTGCCTTCAGGGGGGTGACCCAGAGAAGCCATTGATGCTGCTGAGGAGCTCAGATACTGCAGTCCTGGGGCGACACACCACAGATACATAGTTAGAACTTTAGTTTCTTGGAACTGCTTTTGCAGTAGCTGGCTGTGTGTTCGGCCCCACGTGTGTGGCCATGAGCTATTGCCATTCCCACGTGAAGCTAGGCCATGCCTTGGCTGGCTCTGCCCCTCGAGCAGACACCCACTCCTTTACAATTGCAAAGAGAGAAGAGCTGCTTTCCCCTCTTTTGCCTCTCAACGCCCCCCAGTTCAGATGTTAGCAGCACTGTCCCTTATCAGCTCCTTCCCTGCATGCCTGCAAAGGCAGGGAAGTTTGTCACATCCCAGTAGGTGGGCACCTCTAGGACACCTGCTCTATGGGAGGGGTGCCAGACATGTCCCTCCCCTCCTGCAACTCACCAGCCAATGTGGCTTGATCAGAAGGTCTGGCGTGGGCAGAGCTGAGCTGGGAGCCTGTGTCTCATTGGCCATGGACACCTGAGCCCCACACACTCTCCCCTGGCTGCTGCTGCAACAGGCCAAGGTCTGGCTTACCGGGGCTCTTCTCCAGCCTCCCCTTTCATCTCTGTTGAGCCCTGTAGGATCAGGTCTCCTCTCCACCTGTCCCTGTTGCCCTGCATCCCTCAGTACCCGGCTCAGGGAAGCAGCTCCTTCCCCACCCCACTCCAGTGCCTGCTGCCTCCAGGAAAGAGGACCCAGAGAAAGGGTTTCCCAAGCAGTGGAGGGGAGGCAGAGATGGAGAATTCCCAGAAGGTGGTGAAGAGAATCCTTCAGAGGCGCAGGGGCAAGGGAGAACAGAGCAGGAGGGGGGGGGACGGTCCCCCAAAAGGGGAGCAAGGTGGATGGTGACAGCATGTCTCCCATGAGGGGGTAGGCAGGGAGGGGCTACCACTGCCTTTGTTGATCTTTTCAAGTCTTTTGTTGCCTTTTTGTTCAGTGTTTGACTTCACTGGAGAGAACCGGTCTTCAGTGCGACACTCCCAAGAATTAGCCTCTTGCATCTGTCCCCCAGACTCTAACTAAAGGGTACCGCAGCCTACCCAACAGAATAACCCTGCAGTAGCTCAAACACAAGGCGGGGTTCACTGGGATTGGTTCCCTGTGGTCTGCGTGATGCAGGAGGTCACGCTGGATGATAATCGTGGTCATTTCTGGCTCTGAGTTGCCCGTGGCCTTTTCCAGGCTGCTCAGCCTTTGTGTGAAAGGTGGTATGCTGGATGTTTCCATGTGGCCTTTGGCTGGAATGCTTCCTGGGCTATGAAGGGGAGGGAAGCCCCCATCCTCCAGCATGCAGCGGAGCTGGGGCAGGTTGGGACAATGCAGAGGAAGAACAAGTGAACAGTGCATGGTTGTCTAGCCACTTTGCTTCTACAGAAATGCAGCCTGTAAAACCAATCGGAATGTGTGCAGGAAATGAGTCTTAGATCAATAGTTTGGGATTTAGAGCTGTAATTATCACTTCAGATGCAAACCTCCTTAAAGCTGGGAGGTGACTTGGTCATTGCAGCTTGCGCAATGAGAGTCTCCGCCCGTCTGCACTTGGAGTCCTGAACACAGTTTCCAGAAACAGGTGACTAACTGAATTAACCAAAAAAAGAACAGGAATACTTGTGGCACCTTAGAGACTAACAAATTTATTTGAGCATAAGCTTTTGTGGGCTACAGCCCACTTCTTCGGATGCATAGAATGGAACATATAGTAAGAAGATATATATACATACAGAGAACATGAAAAGGTGGAAGTTGCCATACCAACTCTGAGGCTAATTAATTAAGATGAGCTATTATCAGCAGGAGGAAAAAAAACTTTTGTAGTGATAATCAAGATGGCCCATTTCAGACAGTTGACAAAAAGGTGTGAGGCTACTTAACAGGGGGAGGGATAGCTCAGTGGTTTGAGCATTGGCCTGCTAAACCCAGGGTTGTGAGTTCAATCCTTGAGGGGGCCATTTAGGGATCTGGGGCAAAATAATCTGTCAGGGATGGTACTTGGTCCTGCTGTGAAGGCAGGGGACTGGACTCAATGACCTTTGGTCCCTTCCATTTCTATTAAATAGATTCAATTTGTGTAATGACCTAGCCACTCCCAGTCTCTGTTCAAGCCCAAATTAATGGTATCTAGTTTGCATATTAATTCAAGTTCAGCAGTTTCTCAGTGGAGTCTGTTTTTGAAGCTTTTCTGTTGCAAAATTGCCACCTTTAAGTCTGTTACTGAGTGACCAGAGAGGTTGAAGTGTTCTACTACTGGTTTTTGAATGTTTTGAATGTTAACCAAGGGCAGTTTGGTAGAGCAGTTTTCCCCTGGGGAGGAGGCTAATCACAACCAGAATTAAAGCTGCTTTGATTGGAGGAAAGAGCAGGGCCGGCGCTTCCATTAGTCGACCTAGGCAGTTGCCTAGGGCGCCAGGATTTGGTGGCAATTCGGCTGTGGGGGTCCTTCCGCGCTCCGGGTCTTCGGCGGCAATTCGGCGGCAGGTCCTTCACTCACTCCGGGACCCGCCGCCGAAGTGCCCCAAAGACCAGGAGCGCGGAAGGAGACCCCCCCACCGTCGCAGAATTGCTGCCGCCAAGCGGGACCATGAAAGGACCTCCGCCTAGGGCGCCAAAAACCCTGGCACCGCTCGTGGGAAAGAGCATATCCAAAAACACCATAGGGAGCTGATAAGGAAACCCTGCACATTGTAACAAGCACCCACATGTAATTCAGCCCCATACTGCACAGAAGAGAAGGAGAGGTTTTAAAGGAATAACACATGGAGTGGGACGTGCTTCCCAATACACCCTAAGAAAAATGACCTATCTAGCATTCTGCAAAACTAACTGAAGCATGATAATTTGTCTTGTTTCTGCAGCAGAGATGGAGAATCCTAAATCTACCTCCCCTTGCACAGGAATTCCCAGTAGAGAGATCTCTGCATTAGCAGCTCTCCTGAATTTGCCCTGCACCCCTTTTTCTAGACAGGAAGCTGCTTTATAGAGCAGGCAGCTAACTCTGCTTTGCTTGGGGCAGACCTGCCGACTGCTGATCTCTTTTGCCACAGCTGATCCTGGTAGGAATGTATCTGTTTCCCTGGCTCAGAGACCAGCCAGTCACGCGTGTCATGATGTCATTCTACTGAAAAGGCAGGAAACATCTGTTGTCAAATAGCATTTGTAGGACACAAACCAACCGTGATGCAATCAGGGTTGTTTCGTTCAATGGAAACTTTGGGCTCAGTTTACAGAATGTAATGTGTTGTGAAGAGCTGGTAGCTCCGTGGAGAACCAAATGTCTGTTTTTTAACCTTAGGCTTAATCCAGTCCCAAACATGCCTGCTTCGTCTAAAAGTGTCAATGTTCTCACCTCCTGACTATAGCCAATGTGACTGAATGTGGTCTAATGGTCCACTCTCCCCGCTCAAGAACGAAGGGCTCAGATTTTTGCTCACAAATAGCTGGATTCTTATTAGTGTAAATGACAAGATTACAAAATGCGCTACTCTCTCACTGTGCGACCTGCAGATTGGGATGAGCCTGGGGAGAGAGACTGGCTGAGGTTTAATTTACTATTGATTTATTTTATATCTCCGGGAACGAGATCTGCAGCCCTCCTTTCATGTTCATTGTAATGCCCCATATGCTGATATGCAATTTCCTGTCCAGGATACCCCCAGCCAGAAGTGACCTGGTATAAGGATGATGAGGAGATGGACCGATACTGCGGCTTACCGAAGTATGAGATTTTCCGGCATGGAAACCGCCACACCCTGCAGTTATACAAGTAAGAAAGAAAGCCAGAGAGCATTTGAGTTTGCTGGAGGAATCCTCTCAATATAGTTTGTTTTAACAGAGCGAATAAGGATTATTCAGCACAGCCTGAGCGATCTGCTTCTAATTGTGTGAATGCCAGTTTGAGAGAGACACTTCAGTCCTGCCTTCCCTCACCCCCACCATCCATTCACAATTCTGAGCTTTGAATGCCTAATAGGGCCATTACTATCAATGGTAGCCATCATCATCAGTTCAGTTTGCAGCATGTGCCAACTTTCCATCACCTTGTCCCTAATGCAACCCCATTCTGGTTATTGTCACCCCCTCTATTCATCTGACCCCCCCCTTGCCAGCCCAGGGCCTCAGCCAAAGCCCCCACTACTGCAGCCATTCTCTGGTGTAATGCAGAAAGCAGCAGGTGGGAAAAGGTTGGGGATATTAATATCTTCTAAGTATACTAACTCTGGTAGCAGCATGTGTCTCAGTCCGCATGGAAGAAGGACACCCTACAGAATGATGGGAACCGTGAGACAAAAAGGCAGAGGAGCTGATGATGAACAATGGTGGTGAACGCAGCAGAGAGATAAGACAGGATGAGGCTGGAGCTTCCTTTTAGGAGTGTCCCAGAGTGGCTTTTGGCAACCTTGGTTAAGCCACAGTCAATGGAGTGGTGAGGACAGACTCCAGATTGGAAGAGGTCAGGAGGAGAGCTGGATCAGAGGAAGTTGAGGCAGTTAGAACACACAGCAGGGATATGCCAAGTTCTCACTACCAACTAA